AGTAAGGAACTGGAAGCGGCAGATAATAAGAAAGGAAGATAAACAAACAGAGCTGACAAGGCTTTGGCTCATATGCAGCTAATTTTTTCTCAGTGCTTATTATGAAGACATTTAATGTAATTAACAGACGAATGCTGTGAGACATATACTGACATCGTGGGGAAATATTAGAGACCAAGGAAGGAGAAATAAGGAAGAGTAGAATACTGAAAATTAGAATCCCCAGTCAGTTGGAGGAAGGTGGATATTAACAGAAATAGGGAATACAGAAGTAGAAACCGCAGCAGCGGGAATGGTAGTAGTAATGGTGCAAGTTGAGTGTCTAGAGTCTATCTGTGGGGAGCTCCTCATTTCCAAAACATCGGTAATGCCAATGTTTCCACTGCCAACTCCTCCTATAACTCCATCTATGTTCAACTAGAATTTCACTTCCTGTGTTACCACTTTTCATTTTTTCCCCATACTTTCATCTTTTTTGGCCAATGCCCTTATTCATGATCTATTGATACAAAATGTCAAGCAGGTTTATCACGGAAGACAAGGTGGCACCACAACATGCTTTGCTGTCTGTGTGTGAACTGAAGAGTAGATGTTCAGTGCTCAACTACCCAGGGACTTTGAGAGACAACTTGGTCGGCCAGTGATCGTGATGTGCCTCTGTTATTTGTGTAGTGATATGGGAACTGAAGAGCTAAAAGAGAAGTCTGTCTTTTATGCAATTCTTCCCAATCCATCTACACATTTCTACTGGAATTTCAACTGTGTTGTTGGAGGACTGGTGTTAAATAGTCACACCTGCAATCATGCATGTCAGGATCCTGCAAAGTGAGAGATGTCTGCAGCTCACTGTCTCCTAAGTGGCTGGGGAGGTACACTAAACCCAGTGGCTATCCCCATGCCCCCACGCCAAGGACTGGAAGCCAGCCCAAGACATGGCAGACTTGGGAGCGCTACTGGTCTCTTCCTTTATGTTGGCTGAAATTCTCTTGGTTGGTTATTTTGTCACATTATCTCCAAAAGATAGGTATAACTTGTTGTGTTCTTAATAAGAAAGGAGACACCTTAGATGTTCTGTTTCTGGCCCCATATGCTTAACTGCTATATCATCAAAATGCTTCCAACTTGGGCTTCTGGCATGTTTGCTAAGGCTCAACATTGAGATTGGACGTAAGTATCTAATGAATGGAGGTTACTGGCCTGCAATTTTCCTCCTGACTCTATTTCTTATGGGGATCTTGAAGTCTGGTCAAAAATACATTAAAATATCTCTAGATTTCCAAGCTAGATCTCACTGTACTCTTTCCACCATCCAACACAGCCAGGAAACAATTCTAAGACACATCAGGGTCACATGAGGACCACCAAGCCACATTTTACTTTCTGTAAAAGTCTATGTAAGGACAGTTTTGACAATCTTGGTAAATTTTTGATGTACCTCTGATGTTTCTAATACTGCATGAGCTTTTCTAAAAGAATTCCCCTCAACTATACCTCCAAATGCAATTTCCTGTGAATGATTAGGAACAGAAATACTTTCAAAGTGAGTTTTCCAGACAATTACACTTGCAGAAAAGCAATTAAAACCAAGGAACAATATACACATGCGATTATGCAAAATGTGGCTTCTAATGGTGCTTGCTGAAGATGTTTATAGCACTGTTACCTTTATTATATAATTATATAAATTATAGCTGTGCTCAACAATGAAATACAGGGAGTCTCTTAGAGAAATGTTTACATATAACACTAAATGTGGCTAAATTTACTACAATGTCTTCGGATTAGACTTTTATTTAAACTCAGCTCAGGTAACTGCTTTATAGAATATATGTTAAAATTACAAATCTCTTCCAGACCCAAGTGCCCTATAACAATAACTATTTAGGGTTCTTCTATCACCTTGAACAAAAAGTTATAGCAATATGCAATCAGAAATTGCTCTGGGCTTCAGTGAAATCAAAATAGGCCCAGTAAGAATTGGCCCTGAAGTGTGTAGAAACCATCCCTTTTATAATTTCTGGGATCATGTTGCTTATTCCTTCTTTGAGAGTGAAAAACATTTACATTAAAGAAATCATAGTCTAAATGCATAATAATGAATTCCATTTATATTAAAAAATTTTAACATGTAAATTAGTCCCTGGACCCATGTTTATATAACTGATATATTCTTCATTGTCAAGTAAATGGGGTAGTTAATATTAGCTATGTTGCCAGTGGAAAAATTAACACTTTGTAACTAGCCAACAAATATCAAAACTAAGACCAAACCCTATTTTTCTGAGTATTAGTACTATCTTAAGCCTAAAATTGTACATCATGTACTTTTAAGTATTTTTTTTCCAAAGTACCACACTAAAAATAGTCTATATTTTCTTAATGAAGAGAAATCACCAGAAACATTTTGATACAAAGTTGAGAAAATTAATTATAAATCCTGATACTTTCTTCTTAGTTTCTATTTAGGAAGGGCTTTATAGGTTAAATCAGAAAGATGTTTACAAATCTGGTAAGATTAATTCTCGTATGTGTAAGATATGGAAGAGATATAAGACGTTCTCAGAACAACAGATTGGTGCATCCAATGTGTTTTTTCTTTCCCCCTAGAATCCTAATGGTTAAAAATCAAAGCCAGTTCATGATATAAAAGGTGTACATTTTTTATTACTTCGACTCATTCTTAGTACTTTCTTTCCTCTTTTCTTATTAAAATGTTAATGAAGTATTAGATTCACCTGCAAAGAATGAATTCATCACTTGGTCTGCATTTAGGAAAATAGTGCTCATTTTAATTCTCAGGGAAAAAAATCACAAAGGAACTTGTAAAAAAAATACAAAAATTTGGAATCCTCCTAAAAGAAAAATATCCTGTTTATGTAAAGCTATTTTGTCAATCATAAAGAATTCCTAGAATGTTTTAAAATAAAAACTAGTTTAGCAGCTTTTACAATACTCAGATCAAGCATTCAGGAATTCAAGGTTAAGAACTAATATTTAGTTTTATGTAGTTCAATGGAAAAAGGACTGCATTGATTTCCATAAATAATACAGATTCTTAAGTTGATACTCAAATATACCTTATTCTTATCCCAATAGATCAATAATTATCTAATTAATCATTTATGTTAATTAAGGACACAAATTTATTTATTTTTAAAGGATTTTATTTATTTATTTATTTATTTATTTATTTATTTATTTACTTGAAAGAGAGAGCGCATGCAGCCTGGGGGAGGGAGAGGGATAAGCAGACTCCATGCTGAGCACAGGGCTTAATCTTACAACCCTGAGATCACAATCTGAGCCAAAATCAAGAGTTAGATGCTTAACAGACTGAGCTACCCAGGCACCTCAAGGACACAAATTTATTTTTAAATTAGTTATTATGAAATAAGATATTGTATTATATACACGATTCAAGTTCCTTCTCTTGCTCCACTTAAGTAATAAGAATCATTTTTTCTTAGGGTTTGAGAGTGGTAATCGTTCGTACCATGTTAGTTTAAGATGGCAAGATGTTCGTGCCATAACGTGAAAGAGAGCAGGTGGATTTCAGAGGATGGATATCATATGAAGGGAACAGAGTGTCACGGGATAGAATATGCATCTCCCCTTGGCTTTCATTCCATTTTACTGTCACTAAGTTATAAAGTCGCAGTATGGTGGTTCTATGTCTGTTTAACATACATTACTAAGTTTGCTAGGGTGCCTTTTATGAATAAGGACAAAAATCAGTGGTTTGTGAATGCATCTATCCATTCATTTGCCCCAGAAAGAGGTTTCTGGGTTTGACCTCCCACTTGATTCAACTTCATGTATTTGAGGCTGAATTGGCCATTTAGTCTCTTGCGGGCATAATGGCACACAGGTGGAGAGAATGGATCAGGGACCTGGGCATTAGGACTGTTGAGACAGAATTTTTAAACAATAAATTTGTACAGATATTTCAGAACAACTACAATGAAAGGGAAAAATTAATGAAGATAGAAAAACGAATTTACGAGGCACTGCCAAGGACTATATGCTCTCTCCTTGTTCATCAAGAACTATAATCAAGAAACAACTTATTTTGAAATTAGTTTTTGATTTATGTGCTATGGTTTTTGACACAGCCTTCTGACTAGAACACGGAAAAGTTGCTTTAAAAAGATTACTTTCTGTTGGTTTACTTATTGGTATAAAATTTTACCATAATAACTGAGAACCATCAATTGAAATACAACACTTTCTATTGAAATGTTTGCACAATTTCCTATGATTTTTAAATGGTTTTCCTTTATATGTAACTTTAGATTGAAATGCTTTCTTGGTCTACCTCAAACTTACTTTGGTATAATACAAATGACCACATATTTTCCCCATCCCTGTATGCAAGCCCCTTTTCAGTATGTCTTTGCTTTTCTTTCCAATATGGGGTGGAGTATATTTCTTCAAACCTCATCTTGTCTGCTGATGAGTTTTGTTTTGGCAAATGGCATGTTAGCAAATGAATGCAAGCCCCAGTTTGAAAACTTTGTCATTTCTTGCTGCCAGAAACCTTCCACCATGAATAGTTTACTGAAGGAACAGAAGTCTGGTCTGAAGAGGCCGCAGCCTTCCAAACCGTGCAGCTGAGATCTGCACGGTTCCATCCTGGACCATCAGCCTGTCAAGCTTGTTCAGGTCAGCACTGCCCAGGCAACACGCAAAGTCATGGGCAGATAAATAATTGTTTTCTGCAACTATAATTTAGGGGCCTGTTTGTTATGCAGCAAAAGCTAACTGATACATTTAATTTATTTTTCTCTTTTTTATAGATGGCTTAACACCACTTCTCAAAGGAATTCCAAAGTAAGCATATGAGCCAACAAAAAAATTTATGCACACCTTTACATGTTTTTCTTTGACTCAGAAGTGTGAAACCAATCATGGATTATAATAGATGTACTATTATCGCCACTACAAAACTAGAAGACATTCCTCTATTCTAAAATCCTCTGAAACCAAAATAAAACAGATACCTGATAGTCTTCCCTGGGTCTGCCTCTATGATCCAGGTACAGTGAAGGTTGTTGTCATAAGGAGCAGGGTAGCCAGGAGACAGGATGCGCCCAGAGGTGGCGGCGTGGATCTGACCACCACACTCGGCTGCAAGAGATACGGACACTTGAGGGAATTTACTCCAGGCCCCCACACAGGTTTCAATTTAGCTATTTTAAAAACTAAACCCCAAACCCTCACATCCACATTATACACCTAGCCAAAAAAAAAAAAAAAAATCACAATTGTCTGTCTCCATCATTTCTTTCCTTTCCTTGTTCCCCAGCGTTATCCTGATGGGAAGACATTGCCCAGTATGTAATTCAAGTCAAGAGTATAAAACAATGAAACACTCATGTTATAATTCTCATAATAATTCCATGCATATAGTCTCAGTAAAATAGTACCAGGAAGTCTTTCTTTCATACATAAAGCAAAAACCAGAAAACATGCATATCTTGGAAGTACATAACAAGCCTACACTGGAGAGAGAGCAGAAGCATCCTGTCCTCCTCCAAAGCACCTGGAGCTCCTGTCCTAGGTATAATTTTGTGTAGCAATGAAGCCAGCTGCCCAACTCACCTACACAGGAAGGCAGCGGTTTGTCCCACACCCTGCGGTCACCACTGAGGCAGGTCAGTGTGTCGCTGCCATGCATGGCGTAGCCCGGGTTACAGCTGTACAGAACCACAGTGTCAGTAAAGTGGCCTTCATCTCGGATCCTATAGCCATAGTTAGGGACTCCTGGATCCTCACACTTTACTAGGTCAAAACCTATGAGAAAGGAGGGGAAAGATTGAATGGAAGTAATGGTAGTGAGCAACAAATAAAGACAAAATAGAGAACATTATCAAGTGCCCCTCAAAGCATGGAAAGAAAGAAGATTGTGAATTTAAAAAGGGAAAAGCAAATGTGGGTCTCTCTTGGATTTTATTTGGTAACCATTTGTTGTTTCATGAGGTTGGGTCATTTTATTTGTTCTTATCTATTTATATAATAATGAGAATCTTTTTTCTAAGAGTTCCAAATTGTCATCTACTAATCCATATTGGCTGCCGGCATGATGGATTCTCCGGCAAGCCTCCAAGCCTTCTCTCACTGAGCTGCAAGTTTTCCTGCTTCCACATGCCCTCTCTGTGAATCCCAAACCTTCCAGAAGGAGGGGCCAGCCATGCCTGTCCCCAGGACACTCTTCAGAGTCTTTATTGCCATTGCTCACTCTAGCCTACAGTCAAGAACCACCTACCTTCACACTGACTTCCTCTAAATCTCCAAGATCTTAAGGTTCCTGGGAAATTAAAAAGTTGTTCCTACTCACAGAAGATGGGCTTGTGAATTTCCACCTGCCACACTCCTACCATGCACAGTGAAGGGGGTGACGGGGCAGCTAACGCCATGCACAATGGAAACCCCAGAAATGAATCACTATAACGATTTCATCAAACTTAGCTCTTGAACTCAAAGAAATAGATGACAGAAATGAAGATTTAGCTTCTGCAGAACTGAGAGCTATATATTGCTTTTATGTAAGGCAATATTTTAAGGCCATCTGTGGATACAGTCTTACACTGACATTTCTCTCCTCATATCCTGATGCAAATTTTGGCCCTTCTAAAGAGTAGAGCTGGAAACTTGATGTACCACATGGTCTGTTTACATTTATTTCCACCTAACTTTGACTTCTTCCATTCCTCCAGAAAGAAAGAAAGAAAGAAAGAAGATTTTTTTTAGTTTATAATAATGATTGTTGAACGAATAAATATTCTGAAAGTGGAGATGTTTAAAATCCTGAATCAGATGATTAGAATCACATGTGAATAACACGAAAAACTAGATTATTTTATCAACTTTTGGTGAGGACTCTACAGATAAAGCTCTTCACTAAAACCTTTCTGGAGGAGTGTTAAAAAATAGTAAAGGACAAACAGAAAACAAAGATGTACCAACAAAAATGTCTGTCAAACTTTATTTGGGATAAAGTTTTTAGAGAAATGTCTGTTTTATAGGTTTTTCTATCATTTAATCTTGATTTTTCTTAAAACCACATCCTGTCACACAGACAAATCAAGCCAAGTTATTTCTGATAGGGTAGTTACTTTTTCCAATATCAGTGGTCCCTCTTTCTTATGATGCCTTCTATTATTTTTTCAAAAGTTCACTTAAGTCTTCAATGGCATCATGGATTTTATTATTTAGAAAAAGTGCTATACTTGATTCCTAAGTGCTCAAAGGCTCCAGGCCGACCCAATGTCATTATATGAAATATACTCCTATTCCCTGTCAGAAAGTTGAAAGATATTTGGGTACTCCAATTTTCCAATCTTCAGTCCACTGAAGAGAACTTTGTTCCTGTAAAACTCACATGATTTAATAATTCATTCCCAGTTATGGATGGAAGCATAGACATTTACTCCTGGAGGAAACACTGAAAGTGGTCCTGATCAATGTCTTGAAAGGAGTAGAGAAAGATCTTCAGAAACCCAAAATTCCTCTTCCAGTTTGTCTGTGGGACTCAGTCTGTCCACAAGCACCAGAAACAGCCCTGCTCCCCTGTTTCTCTCCACACATTAAATGGGATTCATTTCGACTAAGTTTTGCTCACTTTGGGGTGAAGGAGTCATGATATCACCATCTCTAAACATTTCTGTTTTTTATGTCAATTTATTTTTTAAGATTGTATTTATTTGAGAGAGAGCACAGGAGGGGAGAAGGGTCAGAGGGAGAAGCAGACTCCCCACTGAGCAGGGAGCCTGATGCGGGACTCGATCCTGGAACTCCAGGATCATGACCTGAGACGAAAGCAGTAACTTAACTGATTGAGCCACCCAGGCGCCCATCTAAACATTTCAACATTACTTTTAAACACTGGTAAAATAAACTGCATTGATGTGTAACAGTGGAAGTCTGAAGCAGCCAAATAAACCTCTCTGATGTTAATTCTGTGTCCATTTCAGGAAAGGATTTTCCTGTGGTTTATCAAAAATATCTCAAAAGCACTTTTTAAGATTTATCTTTAGATCTACAAAGATATTCCTCTAATAAAGAGATATTTCAATTCTAATCTGAATCTAAAACACTTTATAATAATCAGTCTTAATACTGCTAAACAGTAATGCCTTTAAAAATATAGAGAAGATATCCTTTCCTATCTTGAAGCCACCAGCCTGCTGGAAATCAGTGCAGCAAATACTGATTCTGTATATTCTTTATGCCACAGAACCTTTAAAAAAGATTAAATCAAGTTATTTCCTTCAAAACATTATCTATTAAGAGTTGCAATTGTATTGAATTTATTTAGCAATTCCATTTATTTATGTTTTTCTGTGAATTCTTCTGAAGCCATATAAATAGCAAAGATGCTTTGAACTAAATGTTCCAGTGAAAACAGGCTGTAAACATCAGGCTGATGAAAATGACTGCTCCATATCTTTTGCAGTATTTACCCAGTCTCTGTATTTTTGAAGGATTAAATTCTATATATCTTGAACATCTAACAAAATATTACTGTTATAAGATCCTTCCACTTAACTCTCAAGTATTTGGTCTAGTTCTTATCTTCCAAATACGGCACTTGTATGAGACGAGAATCTGCTCTAGATCTAATCCATTTTGTGCCTCCAGGCTGAACCCTGAGGCCCACAGTCATGTGAATTCCTCCAGCCTCTGTCTACACAGCTCTTAAGAAGGTGCATTCAGGTGCAGGTGAGCTTTGAGAAGACAACTGAACAAGGAGAGTCCTTGTTATTTACGGATCTCTGGTAGCTTCTCCTATGAACGACTGAAAAACCTTCAAATGCTTATAGAAGCCTATTATCCTATAACTTTACCTGAGACTTATCTCAATTTGAATAATGTACTTTCTGGTAAAAGTCTCCTTGGTAATATAAGAAAGGTTGTCACATGCAAAAAAAAAAACAAAAAACACACACACAAACACACACAAAAACACACATGCAAAGGAAACACACTTTCACATTTACGTGCGGTAGAAAGAAGATCAAATTACATATATTTTTATTCACCCCATGTTTGGCAGTCATCTGGAAAGAAATGTGGTTTGAGATCAGAGCACTAGTTCAGGTTATTATGGTGGTTCACTCCAGACATGAAGTTCATTAACAGTGAATTTCCTGAAATGTTTGATTGAATCCTGTTTTTTTAAACACAGATCTCATTATTTAGGATTGGAATTCTAGGTGAAGCATGTGTGCTCGCCTTTGAGTTTTAAATTATTACATAAGAAATTATACATCAATGTAGTGTTTTAGCTGTAGCTGTTGTTGGTTTCAAACTGATTTTTTATTATCAGCTACTTTGTTCTCATTTAATTATTTTTACCAAATACTGTTGTACTATTGCTGTTATTTCATGATTATGCAGGAAGATACTCTGAATTTCCCCAAAATAGCATTATTCAACAGGATGGTGAAAACATCTCAACAGGAAAATGACCTCCTGAGCTCCCGAGTGAAATATCAAAAAGCCTGTTGAAGTTCAGAATGGAAATCAGATAACCAAAGTAATCACCTTCTTTTCTGGGACCATCTTGGTTCTCATGAACTATGTCACTAACACTGCATAAAGCAAGGTAATCATAGCTAAAAATTCCAGGAGTCCATCTTGAAATATTTTATAATTCCAAATATATTGTATGCATCCAAAATGAGTCTTTAATGTGGAATATACTCTGACCTTGCACAGAGCTATGTAGTGGTTCAAGGTTTTTATCTATTCTGGGAAGGCTTCATGAAAAAATGTGCATTGTTCACCTCCTGTCACTGAGGTTTAACACCGCACACCATTTATCCCTGTTGAGGATATTTAAAACCGAGGGTTGTGGAACTTGGAGGAGGACCAAGGTCAGCATCTACATCAGGGCGTGGAGATGGATAGACTGAGGGCATTTTACTCTGAATCAGTTTTTAAATGCATCCAACTGGGAACAGTGTTCTAACTCATACATACACTGTGGTAAAGACTTATGATCAGCACAGTATCTAAATTTTTAAATCAGATCTGTGACTTATGAGGCAGGGAATTTGTTAGGCACTATGAGCAGAATTGCATGGAACAGGACCCTCTTTTCACTGGTCTACTTACTTACACAGGTAAGAAAATAAGTATTTTTTTAAGATTTTTTTTTATTTATTTGACAGAGAGAGAGAGAGAGCACAAGCAGGGGGAGCAGGAGGAGAGGGAGAAGCAGGCTCCCCGCTGAGCAGAGAACCGGACATGGGACTCAATCCCAGGGCCCTGGGATCATGACCTGAGCCAAAGGCAGATGCTTAACCAACTGAGCCACCCAGGAGCCCCAGAAAGTAAGTATTTTAAAAACAATATGATACTTGCTATGGCAAAGTTTCGTGGGAAGGTTGAGAAAGGCACAGAAGGAAACAGGAAGGCTGGGCACAGCTTTGCAGAAGACATATAACTGAGCTCATCTAGAAGGATGGTAGGCATTGGCGGTTCTGGAACCAGAGGAGAAGTCTCCAAATAATGTCTTCACAATTATGTGGGGGTTTGGAAGACTACGGCACATCCTGGGATGCAGAACAATTTCCAGTAGCATGTGTGTCTTACTGATGCTTCATTGAAAGCATCAGGAGAGGGCTATCCTGCAGCCCCACGGAGGGCAGTGAGTCAGTATGCAGTGGGGTCGGGGTAGGAAAACAGGTGTCTGCACAAGGAAGTGACCCAGATATTTGTAGCATTTCGGAGAGATCATCAGTGCCACTATGGAGTATGGATTGGAGTGAGGGGAAAAAATAACAGGA